TGTTAGATTTTAATTTCTTGAACATTAACTCCAAGAATAAAAATCATGCAATACTGTGGTAAGAATCCAGGGAAAATAAAAACTATGTACCTTCTTAACAATCCTAATACATAAAAACCCAGGTTCCGTAACATCCAAGGCGACTGAAAGCTCCACTGAATCCCAGGCTGTGCGCACAGCAGGCTCCAGTGGGCAGGGACTGGCGAGCGGGCTGAAATGCTGACCTCTTGAGGAGAAAGAGAGGCGGGGCTGATCAGTGGCTACCATGGCTGCTGGTGAGGCCCAGAGAGAGAGAGAAGCAGGGTCTGATCCGCAGCCTCGCCAGCAGCCCCGCCTCTCTCTCTCTCCTCTAAGAGAGCAGTGCAGCCTGCTCTCCAGCAGCCTGGGGTGGATGTTGATCAGTCCCGCCCCTCTGATCAGGCCCAGAGATAGACCTGGAGACACTGACTGGCATAGAAACTGACCAATCAGAATTAAATCTGGGTGAAGTGTGAGGAGCCAATGGCTGCCTAGGAGGCAGAGCTTTTGATGCTGACTGGCATAGAAACTGACCAATCAGAACTTAACCTGGGTGAACAGCGAAGGCAGAACCTAAGGTGGGGACTGAGGAGGTGTTTTACGGGCAATAGCTGTTTGGTGTAAGGTGTAAGAAAGCAGTTCAATTTTTTAATGACTGATTTGGCAGTATAGTGCATATGGCTGGCTATCAGTCCAGATATAGGGATTATTTATTTTTGTCTGCTAAGAGCATCTCCTCCTGCTGAAAAAGGCTTTTCCCACCATTTAAGCAATCCTATCCTATATAATCTATCTATATTAATAAAAGGGCATTATGCTAATTAGACCGGGTCAACCGGACAAAGCCATGATAGTGGGGGCTGAGGCAGAGGGAGGGCAGTTGGGGGTGAAATCAGGCTGGCAGGGGGTTAGGGGCAATCAGGCCAGCAGGGGAGGACAGTTGAGGATGAGATCAGGCCAGCAGGAAGGGTAGTTGGGGGTGAGATCAGGCTGGCAGGGGAAGGCAGTCAGGGGCGATCAGGCAGGCAGAGGCAGTTAGGGGTGATCAAGCAGTTAGGCAGAGAGGTTAGGGGCGCTCAGGCAGGTGAGCGGTTAGGAGCCAGTGGTCCCATATTGCGAGAGAGATGTCTCCAACTGGAGAGGGTGCAGGCTGGGCTAAGGGAATCTCCCCCCCCCCATGCACAAATTTTGTGCACCGGGCCACTAGTCTATATATATAAAAACCCTAAGTGACCGTTCTACCGCTCGACCAGTCTACTGTTTGACCGGTCGCTATGACATACACTGACCACCAGGGGGTAGACGCTCAACGCAGAAGATGCACCCTGGTGGTCAGTGCAATCCCACAGTGGGACACCACTCAGATGACCAATGGGCACCAGACGCCGGGCTCATTGTTGGCAAGCGCAGCTGTGGCAGCACGAGCCTCTCCCACCTCCGCGGGAGCACTACTGAGCGATGGCAGAGGCAGGCGCTGTGGGGCCGGAATGAGCAGGAGTGGCATGGCACCTGGCCCAGGCTCAGGCTCCTCCCCGGCCGCCTGCTGCTTCACACATTAGTATATCCCTTAAGAGGTACCGGATTGCGAGAGGGCGCAGGCGAGGCTGAGGGACCCCACCAGTGCATGAATCCATGCACTGAGCCTCTAGTATTTATCTAATAGTTTCAAAGCAAACACAATTATTCCCAATGGCTTTGAAAACACTGAGAAAAACAAATTAGTCTTGAGGAGGACCAGGATGCTTATACACTTTCTATATTCCTACACCTGTTGTAACAGCCAAGGAACTATTTCCTAAGTATATGATTTCTACAATAATGAAAAGTAAATAGCTAATTCAGGAACAATCCAGAATTTCCAAAATTCAAGTCCACTGCTTGATTTCCTTTTAGTTGATAAATTGCTAAATAATCTAATTTAATTTATAAGTATTTGGAACACTAATGATCAAAATCAGCAGAAACCTATTCGTATTTTAACATTTCATGTTCAACTTATATTTTTAGTTAAAATAGAAGAGTTACTGTTTATTAAAACCTAACTGAGGTACTAGGAATTGATCTAAGTCTTTGCAAATACTATTTCATTTAACTCTCAAACAAACCTAGAAAGCAGATGCTCTTATTATCCTCATTTTTCAGATGAAGAAAAAAATGCCCCAAGAAAATCTGAAATGTTCAGGTGTCACATGGTTACGGAAGAGCAGAACTGGCTGGAAGGCAGCCTGCCTTGCCCCAGAGGCCTATTTCTCACTGTCTCCACCACTCACCTCACAGGATGTAATAGACTCCAGAAAATAAACTCTAAAAGTCTAATACTACAAATGTGCTACACAACCAAGTTAAAAGGTTTTCTGAACAATGACCACACAGAAGGAAGCGAATAACAGGAAACACTTTTGAAGGACAGTTACATACTACAACCCTGGCTGCCACTTTTCACTATGGAAGATCATGCTCCAAAAAGGTCACAGTGATGGAAAGGAGAGGATTAAAGCCTGGCTGGGTGGCTCAGCTGGAGCGACATCCCGTGCACCAAAAACGTGCATGAATCCATGCACTGAGCCTCTAGTATTTATCTAATAGTTTCAAAGCAAACACAATTATTCCCAATGGCTTTGAAAACACTGAGAAAAACAAATTAGTCTTGAGGAGGACCAGGATGCTTATACACTTTCTATATTCCTACACCTGTTGTAACAGCCAAGGAACTATTTCCTAAGTATATGATTTCTACAATAATGAAAAGTAAATAGCTAATTCAGGAACAATCCAGAATTTCCAAAATTCAAGTCCACTGCTTGATTTCCTTTTAGTTGATAAATTGCTAAATAATCTAATTTAATTTATAAGTATTTGGAACACTAATGATCAAAATCAGCAGAAACCTATTCGTATTTTAACATTTCATGTTCAACTTATATTTTTAGTTAAAATAGAAGAGTTACTGTTTATTAAAACCTAACTGAGGTACTAGGAATTGATCTAAGTCTTTGCAAATACTATTTCATTTAACTCTCAAACAAACCTAGAAAGCAGATGCTCTTATTATCCTCATTTTTCAGATGAAGAAAAAAATGCCCCAAGAAAATCTGAAATGTTCAGGTGTCACATGGTTACGGAAGAGCAGAACTGGCTGGAAGGCAGCCTGCCTTGCCCCAGAGGCCTATTTCTCACTGTCTCCACCACTCACCTCACAGGATGTAATAGACTCCAGAAAATAAACTCTAAAAGTCTAATACTACAAATGTGCTACACAACCAAGTTAAAAGGTTTTCTGAACAATGACCACACAGAAGGAAGCGAATAACAGGAAACACTTTTGAAGGACAGTTACATACTACAACCCTGGCTGCCACTTTTCACTATGGAAGATCATGCTCCAAAAAGGTCACAGTGATGGAAAGGAGAGGATTAAAGCCTGGCTGGGTGGCTCAGCTGGAGCGACATCCCGTGCACCAAAAACAGTTTGTGGGTTCGATTCCCAGTCAGGGCACATGCCTCGATCATGGGTTTGATCCCTAGTCAGGGTGCATTCAAGAGGCAACTGATCAATGTTTCTCTCTCACATGCATGTTTCTCTCTCTCTTTTCCTTTCTCTCTCTCTAGAATCAATAAAACCATATCCTTGGGTAAGGATTAAAAAACACACACAATTAAATCACTTTCCACTATGGGAAATCAAGGCCACAGTGATGGTAAGGGTGGGATTAAAAAATTAAAAATTATATTATACCAGAAACTGCTTCATAATAGGGAAATAAAGTGTTAGGGACTAAAGACTTTCTTATAAGAATTTTATAATACAAGCTGAAAATAATAATAAATCCGTAGATTAAAGCAGACATACCAAATCTAAAATATCACTGAACAAATCTTAAACAGAAAATTAAGACAAAACCAGAGGCTTTAAAATCATCATTTAAACACATGATAACAAAGTACAAAATAAGTGTGACATCAAAATAAATTGCAGCCAGTTTACAACCACCAACAAAAGAAGGTCATGGCAAGTGAACCCATTTCAACAGAGTAACCAGACTATCCTGTGCTCACAGCCTCTCTACATTTGCATTGTAACCAATAGCAGCAGCTGAAAAGCAAAAGACACTCTAGAATCAGCCTGGGTATCTGGAAACTTGGGAGAGATCAGACACTGTGCTAACAAGATCCCCAGTTGTCTCGATGTGTGTGTAAATTTGAGAAGCCCTGGAGCAGAGGCTGAGGCCGATGGGAACGGGAGGGCTCCTCCCTCTGAGCACTGACACGGATGCTGTCCCTGCCACAAAAAACTTACCGAGAGGCAGCCTGAAGTCTGAAGGCAGAGCAGAGACTAAGGCAGTGATGGCGAACCTATGACATGCATGTCAGAGGTGACACGCGAACTCATTTTTTTGGTTGATTTTTCTTTGTTAAATGGCATTTAAATATTTAAAATAAATATCAAAAATATAAATCTTTGTTTTACTATGGTTGCAAATATCAAAAAATTTCAATATGTGACACGGCACCAGAGTTAAATTAGGGTTTTTCAAAATGCTGACACGCCGAGCTCAAAAGGTTCACCATCATTGGACTAAGGTCAAGCCCGGCCTTGCCTTGGTGATGGGGAGGACTACCCCAGGTGGGCTGCCCAACAAGTAACAGAGTGGAGAGGGATAAAAAACAAGGAAAATCAGCCTGGAATACTTCGGAATAGCTGGTGAATTTTAAGGAGAGCGAAAGTAAGACAGTAATGACTAGTGCAATGAGCGGCCATGCCTAGACGTGCAGTGAAGGCAAAGCAGGGCCAACACCTGCTAACCTGACCGAGGGAGGCGCTACATGGAAATACTCAGCTCAGCGCCCTGAAGGGGCACGGGCTTTATGTGAACAATGGGTGAGATTTTTTAGCTGGAAACTTCAAGTACGATGTTCTTTGCAGTGAAATTCTTACTCTCTCACTTATTTCATCCGAATTACACACGAACACAGACACTTACCAACCAAGACAACAAGTCTGTATTTCTCATTCATTTGTCGCCGATATGGGGTTACTTCCTCATATGTGGGTACATCAGCTGTATCATATTGATCACTCTTCTTACATTCATACATGGTTTTATTTGTTTTCTTATCTTTTCTACTTAGACGGAAACTTCTTCTAAAACCAGCTGTAAACAGAAAAAAATTATTTCTAGTAATAAGAACTAAAAAAAGAAACCCCCTCAAAAAACAAAAATAAAAAACCCTCAAAGTTGCATCAGATTTTTGTTACACCATATTATTGTTACAAGTGCACTTAGTAAGAGAATAAAAATAGATGCTACACAATTTCATTAAAATAACAATTGATAAGATAATTACCTAACATTTAAATATATAGCTATAATGACATAAATTTTATTTGGTTCTAAATCATAGAGTTTTCTTCAGAAATCAACGAGTAAAATAACTGTTATAAAGCAAAATAAGGAAGTCAGAAAGCATGAGGATAATTTATCATGGACTGAATGATGAACACATTTGATAAGAAAAAATTAAAAGCACTTTAAAAACATTTTAAATATAAACGATGGATTCTCTCATTCATAAACACTGGAATATTTCATGTCATATTCTAAGCATAGCCTAACAACATACCTGGGGCACAGACAGGATCTACTGTTAAGAAAGAAAACTAAATTAGGGAAAGCATAATGTCCAACAGGCCTATGCGTGGGATCAGGCTGATAGATCTAGCCTGTTCCTAAAAGCAAGTTATTTAATTCCCATGAGATTCCAGGGGAATGGAATCATGGACCTAGCTGCCTCACGTCTTCTTCTATGGAAACTATATGTTTTTACTAGTATGATCTGAAGCCTACTGAAATTTGAAAATGTTTCATAGTTTCAATTGTGTACTCATCAACAGGTCATATAATCTTTTGCTAAGATAAATTTTTAAGTATTTAATAAATGCCATGTCTGCTTAAAGCATCCTCTTCAACTCACTGCTATCACTTAACACGTGGGCTTAAAAAGGTCAGCTAGAGTTCCTTTCCTCAGTCAATTCCCATTTTATTCTGATTGATTTTCATGTTGTTGCAGTATTCTGGTTTTATTTCTTTTCTAGAATAGTGACATTTACCATATGCATCATTCAAGAACTCATAAGCTGTGCAATCAACTCTTAACCAAACCAACCTTTATACGCTCTCAAAAATCCAGACTTTAAGACAGAGAAAACAATCTACTTATCAAAACATATAGTATATTCTGCATCAGCTCTATAGTACAATATATATGTATTATATATCTATTTTAAAGACTTTTTTTACATTACTCTTTTTTAAAAATATATTTTTATTAATTTCATAGAGGAAGGGAGAGGGAGAGAGAGATAGAAACATCAATGATGAGAGAGAATCATTGATCAGCTGCCTCCTGCAAGCTCCCAACTGGGGATCAAGCTGCAACCCAGGCGTGTGCCCTGACTGGGAATTAAACTGTGATCTCCAGGTTCACAGGTCAACACTCAACCACTGAGCACACTGGTCAGGCCAAAACATAAAAAAAATATTCTCTTTAAAAAGAATATTGATTGAGTTTGACACAGAGAAAACTTTAAAAATAAATCTATTTTTATAACAAAATATAAGACTATAATAACTAATCTGTGTGAATTTCAGGGAACATAAAGAAAAAGAATAATTATTAGCATTGGATTTAAGAAGTTAATAGGATTCCAAATAAAGGCAATATTAAAAAACAATTATCAATGACTAGGGAGTTTCAGCTTAATAAAAATCAATCAACATGCTGAGAATAGAATGAAAAAATAAATCTGATAATATATTCCTGTGGACCACCAAGTCTCATTCTGATTTTGAGGAAATACTCAGATTATTTGAGGGGAAACATTTACAAAGGATTTGAAATGAGGAAGATAATTGCTCTAAAACTCGTTGATCAAAAAGATAAAGAGAAAAAAGTGAACAGGATAAGTGGTATAAAACACATTGGTATTTTATATAAGATGAGATTTGAGATAAGCAAAAGGGGCACTGTGCCATCCTGGTCATGAGAGGAAGAAAACATGTGTGAATTCTAAAATCCCACATGCACATACAATTCAAACTTCTGTGTAAAGGATCAGAGGACACACTGCACATTAATTTTTTCTGTTTTCTGGGATATTGGGAAAGAATCCATAAAAGGGACCCCTACATATATCTCAGAGTCATTGCAACACCACACCAGAAGTAACCGAGATTCTTGCTATTTCCAAGAGATTCTTGCTTTTTCCAATGCTTTAGCAGAGTGGTATCCAGGCAATGGTCTCTGCCTAATTTGCAGAAATTACTTATCCATCCCAATCCCACCCTAACTCTGTCACCTGTGACTGCTGGCCAAGATTGGAATCCAGTATAACGGGATAGTTTCTGATTTAGCACAGAAACGACACATTAGTTGTTCTGACTTTTCTATGCTGGTATTTCATTGTGTTCTAATTTCAGGTTTCCACGGTTCTTATCTCCAGAAAGGCAATTATAGGATATGCCGGTAGAACTAGAAATGCCTTCACAGTTATTCCTTGTATGGAGGGAAGGTTTTCTTTGCCACTACAACTTTTGGCACAGGAATAGTTCTAACTAGGTCATAAATGTCTCATCCAAAGCAAATAAAGCCCAAACGTGAAAACCTGAAATTTTTCTGATCCACAAATCACAGATAAATCCCGATTTTCAATGAAAGTGTTAACCTAACTGGGTCTTTACCATTAACTAAAGTTTCTGCTTTCATTGTAAACAATAAAGGGATAGTGGATAAAAGAAAAAAAGTAAACAGATTTCTAATGTGAGGGTCTTTGGACATCAAAAATGGTGACTGTGCTCCACAGGATGGTCTGGTGATGTTAGCTGTATCTGGTTGGTACAGAACAGGTGTTTGGTAAAAGTTTACTAAATTAAACTTAAAAAGGCAACAACAAAAACCCTGCTATCATTCCAGTTTCATTTTCTTATGTAAATTTCAACAAAGAAAGGGCACATTTGATATTTTCACAAGAAAAAATTCTAAGAGGCAGACAAAAGGACAGAACATTGCAAACCACAAGGCTTAGCACTGGAAGGAACCCTGGAGCCCATCTGGGCCATGTCCCGGCTCCCTGGCCAGCATATATGTTACTGTCACTGCACTTGCCCACACGCTATGACAGGGTCCTGACCTCATTCACATCCACTTTTCTCGGTGGTAACTACCAAACAGGTGAATCTCCCACAGTTATGAGCTTCGGTGCTGGTGCCTTGACCTAACTTGCTCGTTTATAAAACAAAGGGAAAGGCAATCGGATCACCACATGGATTCTATCACAGCATCAGCATCACTAGGTATTGAAGCAAAGACAAGAGGTAGACAAACCTGCTCACTTACCAGTTGTATGACTTGCCAACTTTTAAAAAATGTCTCTAGGCCCATTTTCTCAACTTTAAAATAGTAGTGTCTACCTCACAGTGTTGTTAAGAATTAAACAATTGCCATAAACCATTTGACCCAGTACCTGGCATGTGGTAAACACTATACACTACAGCTGTAAATTACTGCGTGATTATGTCTCCAACTTATTTAAAGTACCTTGAAGGCAGGAACATACCTCCCTGTGTTCCCACAACACACAGTCTAGCAGGAAAGGGAAAAATAAATTAAGGGGCTTATTAGTAAGTTTTTAACTGGCTAGTGTTACAAAAGAGACAAAATATTAAAATTAAAGCCAGATTTAAATGTTAACTATTAAAAGTACCCTATTAAGAAGTGAGGTATTTTATTTATTTTTAATAATCCTCACCTGAGGATATGTTTTTATTGCATTTTAGAGAGAAGGAAGAGAGAGAGAGAGAGAGAGAGAGAGAGAGAGAGACCCATATGAGAGAAAAACATCGATCGGTTGCCTCTCATATTCATACACCCATATCACCATATGAGAGAAAAACATTGATCGGTTGCCTCTCATATTCATACACCCATATCACCCCCACCTGGATGGAGCCTGCAACTTGGGTATGTGCCCTGACCAGGAATTAAACCCACCAGCTCTTGGTGTATGGGACAACGCTTCAACCAACTGACCACCAGGCCAGGGCAGTGAGGCATTTTAAAGAAACATAACAAAGATTTAGTGTACCTTAACTATTCATGTTTTTAGTTACTCTTTCTAGGGATGTATGTTATTTCTGATACCATATTTAAATTTAAAAGGCATTCTTCCAACTTTTACTTATCATAATCTTTTATTCTCCTGATTCATATATAGTACTCCATATTTACATCACAAAATATATATACAAACAAACATATGAATGGGTACACATGTATACATATGTACATAAATATCTATATATAAAGAGCCAGGGTCCGTAACATCCAAAACAACCAAAGGCTCAACTGCCGCTGCTGCGGGTGCCCAGACCCAGCACTGACTGCCGAGGGGGCTGCGGATCAGGCCCAAAGAGAGGCCTGCAGAAAGAAGCAGGGTCTGATCCGTAGCCTCCATGGAAGCTGTTGATTAGCATTTGCCTCTCTCTTTCACTCTGGGCCTGGCCAGCAGCCACGCCTCTCTTTCTCTCGGGCATCTGCTGGGGATGCTGATCAGCCCCACCCCTCTGATCAGGCCCGTCAATAGGCCTGGAGACGCTGACTGGCATAGAAACTGACCAATCAGAACCTAATCTGGGTGAACTGTGAAGGCAGAACCTAAGGTGGGGGCTGAGGAGGGGTTTTAAGGGCAACAGCTGTTTGGTGTAAGGTGTAAGAAAGCGGTTCAATTTTTTAATGCCCAGTTTGGCAGTGTAGTGCACATGGCTGGCTATCAGTCCAGATATAGGGATTATGTGTTTTTGTCTGCTAAGAGCATCTCCTCCTGCTGAAAAAGGTTCCCCCCCATTTAAGCAATTCTATCCTATATAATCTATCTATACTAATAAAAGGGAAATATGCTAATTAGACCAGGTTGACTGGCTATCTTCCGGATGTCCGACTTCCTTCCAGACAAAGCCATGGTGGTGGGGGCCGAGGCAGAGGCAGTTAGGGGTGATCAGGCTGGCAGGGGAGGGGAGTTGGGGGTGAGATCAGGCCAGCAGGGGAAGGCACAGGGGGCGATATCAGGCCAG